TTATTTTATTTTTTTAAGGAATCATTTTCTTATCTCTTACTTTGAATTTGCTATAAGAAATCAAATAGAAATCACCACTTCTGGACAATAATCAATCATTTGAAATCTATAATTTTTTCCTAATGGCAATTTTATGATTGTTTTATATACTACAAACAATTATTTCAATTTTCTGTACAGAATAAGGTAGAAAATATACTTTATAGTTTCTGTACTGTAATAAATGATATGTCAATTAGCACTGCATCATTCATAAATGTTATTTATTTATTTTTGTAATCTATAATTTTTTCCTAATGGCAATTTTATGATTGTTTTATATACTACAAACAATTATTTCAATTTTCTGCACAGAATAAGGTAGAAAATATACTTTATAGTTTCTGTACTGTAATAAATGTCAATTAGCACTGCATCATTGATACATTTTATTTATTTATTGTGTTTAACGTTTCATCAGTTCATTCTGCTTTTTATTCAGATTAGCTGCAGATATAGACTGGCACGTCTTAAATTCTATGAGCGTGAGATCACTTCTATTTCAGTGCGAAAACGTCTTTATCTCATTTTCATAAAATAAAATGCTATAGTTTTTAACTTTTCTTCTCCATCAGCTAATGATGATTCTGAAAGAAAACGTGCCTGATGTCTGTTTGCTATAGCAACGAACGCTACTTTCATGCATCTGATTATCAGTTAAACCTTGCACTCTTATTTCAAGGTTGTTGTTAAAGCTGTGGTTATTTTAACGGTTTCCTTCGTACATTTGGTTTAACAACATTGTTAAAACACATTTCTCATTCAATGGAACTGTGCGTATGACACTTACATTTTTGCTCCGTCCAAACCTTTATGATTACAGAACCATAGGTTAGAGAGAAAAAAAAAATGTTGTCCATTGTTAGATGCTAGTTTAATGATGCTATGGCATGACATGGCATATGTAGAAATTTATGTAAGCCAAGATTTAAAAAAAAAGTGCTTTAAAAGTATTATGTATAGGCTAACATTTTGTCACACCAGGGGCATAGCCATAATTTCAGAAGTGACATAAATGTCAAATACAATAATTTTATGTATGTATGTATGTATTATTATTATTATTATTATTACTGTTTTACTGTGTGGAGACGTGCTGATATCGCGTTTGGTCTCGTTCTGTATCGCGTATCTTG